AAAGCAATGAACATACACAAAGAATAATAGTATAAAGGCAAGCATAGTAGGATATATCTATTTTTTCTTTCTTTAACGTAACTTTTTTCTTTTTGTGACAGTTGTATCGTGAATATTCCATTAAAAATTTTGGTTAGCGTTATTTATTAGTCTGTTTTATATATAGATTCCTAGAAACCCTAATAGACTAAGAAAAAGAAGTGACATTAATTGCAACAACATAGTGACAAAAATAGTAGTAGTAGTAATAGAAGAAGAAGAAGAAGAARACAATGACGACGACGAYGACGACGAAGAAGAAGAAGAAGAAGAAGAAGAAGAAGAAGAAGTAGAAACAAACCCTTGATAAATATTAGGTAAGTTATTTTTGGCGTATTGTCTTAAATCCATTTTTAGAAAGGTATAACTATTTTTTGTACTTTTGCAATTTTATTTCTTATAGAGTAAGAAAATAATGATATTAGGTTCTTACATGGTATTAGCCATTTTATTATGGTATAAACAAAGTTGTAGTTTATTATTTTTATTTTGTCACTATGATTTTCTCATGTTTATCATTTCTTAGTGACTTCATTTTTATTTTTCTAATTATTTGCATACATTGCTAAGACAATTAACTTATTGTCCATATATTTGATTTTAGAACCAACATCTAAAACTTGTCTATTTTCATATATATTTTATGATTTTATTATTATTTAACAATGACATCGAGGGTTCATGCACATTTTGACCCAAAAGGTTTAATTGTTGTCTTTCCATCGAATAGGAAAGCAACTCCATTTTTGGACTGCTTTTAAATTTGTATTTTATTTATATCATCAATAAGAGTCATTATTATTTGTTACACTTATTTTTCTTTAATATGGTTAATGAATATAAGATTCCATGAAAGAATGAGAGTTAAAGTTAATGAAAAAAGAATTGAACGAGGATAAATGTAGTAATTCAAATTACATTTTGTGCCCTCACAATTAGAGAGGGATCAAATTCAAAAATAGGGGTATTCTAGTCAAGAATAGGACTCAATGAATATTAATAAAACTAATACCTTAAATATAAGTTAATGAGAGGGATTTGAATAAAAAGAAAAGTGGTTCCTCAAATTACATTTCTGTCTTTACAATTAAAAATGGTCTAAATTAAAAAATTGGGGTGTTTTAGTCAAACAAAAGTTCTACACTCTCATTCACACTTTTAATACACACACACACACAAAATAGAGGAACTTCCATACATAACATACTTATTCTAGTTACATGGGGAATTTTATGGTCAATCTTGGCCATTCCTCAAATAGAAGGCCCTCTAGGATGGCTATGTAATGAATCCTAGTATCCTACTATCCATGTAAGCCCTATACTAACCTTCTACTATAGTTTTGGTTAAAATTGCCCCTAATGAGGGTTTATATAACATGTGAAAAGGCCCTTTAGGCTGATTTGTGGTTTTGAATCTGCAGATAAGATAGGAATTTGGGGCCGAGCCCCAAGCTGATAACTTGTAACATAGAAGTTAATTAGAGTTTAACTTCTTTACTAAATGACCTGAACAAAATACTGGTCATATCCATGCATGTGTATGCGTATGTATTTTATTCTGTCATTATTTTCATGCTCTAAGAAATTAATATGCAAATTCCCCACACCACATACCCTATTTCTGCCATATTGGGGTGGTTTAGCAAATTCAAACCATTCAATTTGCTGTGAATGAACCTTCTAGATTAGCCATATGTTCAATTCTTCATTGTACATTAACTCTAATTCAACCTTGTATTGTTGGCTTTCCTAATAACTCAATTTTAACTTTTTTTAAATGGAAATTATAGTTTAACTTGATTGGTATTATAAAACTTTCACAAAAAGGTCAAATTGTGAATTCAAAGTAAGTGTTGGGGTTTAAAATTTCTCTATGAATAGGGGTGCCAAAATGGACATATGGAGCCTAAATTAGACTAACATGTGAAAGATTCTTATTCATGGGTTAAGCTGTAAAATTGCATTAGTGAAATTATTTGATAATCTTAGAGGTTATTTCAATATGATTGCTCGAAAAGTTTATTCTGAAAAGGGAATGAATCATATTGCAATGATAGATCTTGTATAAGTGAATATTCAATTTGTTAAATAGGGAGCTTTTTGGCTTGAGATATAAGCCGTATATTTTATTATAAAAGATGAGTAGCTACCAAGTAAGAGGTCAAACACAAGAGATTGAGGGGGTGTTTAGCAAGTCTTTTCATGTTGTGTTTCAGGCTTTTCAAAGTTTGAGAGACCTATGCCCTAAAAAACTCACAGAAGCCCAAAAATAGCCAAAAATTAGGAAGCTTCATGTCTTTATGCACCTAAAAAATCTTTCATTTAACAGCTCTATAGGCCATGATACACTAGGATACTTACCAAACAACCCAAATCCTTAAAGACAAGACCTCAAAAGCTCATTACAACTTTTGGTCATTTAGACTGTCAGAAGATCTTCCTAAAAAACCTGCCAAACGATATCTAAAATTTTCAAAAGTTAAAAACAGTTATATATTGAAGTTTTTTAATGGATAAACTATATTATAGTTTAAAGTTGTAATAAATTCCACTATCCAAATAATAATTACTTTGAAACTATTTAGATTCAGTCATCCAATTATGTTAATCTTGACTTAGAGAAATTCTTATGGTAGGTGAGTAGGCCATCCATTATTACATCTACAGATGTGGTTCAAGATCAATCTATAAATACATTATAACACATTATACCTCCCTTTTTTGGTAAAGTCAAATATAAATGAACAATGCCATACACAAGGTTATCAAAAGCAGAAGGTTGAGCCAATTTGCTTCATGTTGAGTTTGATTAGCCTTGAAAAAATACATCATTATCTAGGTCGTGTTTTAATTATAGTTTTCGAACTGCCGTTGATCCGAATAGTTAGACCGTTCGGCTTGGGAACCATTAAGGCAATCAGTTTTGTTTTACTCTAAACCTGGTTTATGGCTAAAAATCGTTGAATCAGTCAACGATTCGTTGATTTGGGCGATCAAACCGTCAACCTGTCAAATCATTCAACAGTTTTGGTCATTTTTTTTAATTATTGTTGTTTGAACATGTTATCTGTTTAAATTGGATGATCGAACCATCAACCAAAAAACCGAAGGCCAGAACGATTCTGTTTTCAAATCATTTTTTAAAACCATGATTTTAATACTTATCAATGAACAAATGGGCAGGGTTTAGAGAGAGAGAGCAATGACAATACAGGTGAGGCTTATTTGTGAAGTAACTCCCAATGTGAATGTTATCAATGGATTGGATTTTGATATATAATTCAATTACAGTAAAGTATGGTGATCCATTAATGCCAATACGATCCAATGATACCAATGTAACATTAGTATTCTACGTAATAATTATTAAGTAGAGGGAATAATTCATAGTGGGACCTAGTGTAGTAGTAAGATGACATCAGCATGCCATGTAATTATTATTATTATTATTATATTTTTTATGTAAGTATTATTAGAATAGAGTAATTGAAGCCAGTTTTATACATTTACAATTTTTTTGGATATTTTAATACAGTTTTATACATCTATTAAGGGAGGTATTTGACAACATGGTTTTGTTGTTTGGACAGAAAAAACCGACCATGTTCCCGAATACCCCCCAAATGGTTATTGAATCATCCCATTCAATCCAATAATACATTTTTCTTTAATCCATTTAAATTCAATAAACTTTTTTCTTGGTTGAATAAATTCAATTAATGAACTTAATGGATGTCCAAATCCAACATAATTTGATTGGATCCACATTGGAACAGATCAAAATCCAATCCATCGACACCCTATATTTTTTTCTGGAAATGCGAGAAGCCTTAGGCTGTATTTGATTTGAAAGAAAAAGGTAGAGAATGATCATTTGACTAATCCTGTTTAAGTTTTTTTTTTTTTTTCCTGATATGAATAAAATCAAACTCCACCACTCACTGGTCTAATTTAATTTAGACAATCATATCTCCCTTTTATTAGATTTCTCACCTTTCTTTTTTCTCTTTACACTCAGTTTGGAAAGAGTATGAATACAAATATGTACAAAATAAATTTATACAAAATAATATAAAATACATAATTTTACATTCTATAAATTTGTATTTATATATACAATACAAATTCATACAAATATATACAATACAAATTCATACAAAACAAACTCCAAACTGAGCCTTAGGCTTAATTTGTTTGCGATAAGAATTTTACTGGTATAATTGCACGAGAACACAAATATATTAAATATAAATACTAGTTTACTTTTGCTTGATATTTGACTATCTTATTTATTTATTTGTGAGAAGTCAAATAAAATGATCCCCACCTTACATGAAAGAGAATTAATATAGGAAGATGGTTTGGGAATGAAGTAGGAAAATTGATGTCGGTAAAGGCGGAGCAAAATTTGCACTGCAAGTGAGTGTTAACGATACAAAAATTACAATTTCATTTTAAATAGGAGTACAGATTATAATTTCAAAAGATGCAAAATTGATTGTATCGCGCATTCAGATTTACAGGGCTACAAATTAATCATGATTACGGGAAACGCAATCAAATCCAACGTTTTAATTTACCACTGCAGAAGGCTAGAAGTGCAGATGGAAGAGACCTAGAGATTAGTAATAAAAGGAAATTGTGAGGGGTTGTTTGAAATTATAAGAAAAGATTCATGGCGTCGGGCTACCGCCATTTGCTGTATCTCTTCTTTACATAATTACATGAATTATAGTCAACGCCAGTCAACGCTGTTATGTCAAAACTGGAGAAGATCGAAGATAATTACTGATTAGAGGAAGGAGATGGAGAACTGGAATAGACAAGGCCTCAATTCTAGGGAAATGACGGAAAGAACCTTTTTAATTATAAAATGATCCCTGCTTCATATTCTTCTTCGTTTTTTAGTCCTTTCTTCATTTGAGACATTTTTACGACCGACCCTTTAATAGCGGAAATCTCTTCGACGTCGGCCGTAGAAGAAAGAGAAAAGAAGCTCGATTTTTATTTCCTTCTTCTTCCTTTCTTCTTCGTCAGCTTTGTCCCTCTTTCTGCAGAAAATTTATCCTTCGATCTGATCTCATCTGGTCGTTGACGTGGGTACGTTTCGATCCACTCGAACTCCTCGTTGTTGAATTAGGCTTCAATTTGAGCTCGTCCGATGCTTTGGCGGGGTTTCTTTCTAAAATCCCTAGATTTTCGATCAGATTAGGGTTTCGGAACTGATTGTTCCGTCATGTGTTTTTCTTTCAAATGAAAGTTTTGTAGTTGTACGGTTAGGTGAACCGCTTAATTCGGTTTTGGTTGGGGTTTGATTGTTCTCTTACAAGTTTGGTTGCTTCAGTCCGAATTTATTCTGAATTATGTTGAAATTGATATCATTTTCTCTGTTTTCGTTCATACATTTATTTCAGTTCTCGTATTTTGCTTCTTACACTGTTACCGGGCTTTTCTCTTTCGTGTTTGCAATTTAATTTCATGTCCACGTCGAGCTCATCTGGGTGTAGTTGTCAGTCTTGTCGATGCTCTCGTAGCTAATATTCTTTGTTGTGCGTTTGGAAGTCTCCGCCTTCGTTCTTTTTTTCTTATTTCTTTAAATTCTACCACATTTCCAGAAATTTAGTTATCAGTGTCTTCACAAGGATCGAGTCCTAGGAATCAGTTCAAATGAGCTCATGAATTTTGGTTTCCAGTTCAAGTACATTTTGTAATATTGCCTTATTGCTTCGCAGGTTTAATTTGATCATCTTCTCCATAGGGTTCTATGGCAGGATTAGCGGGCCAGAGTATGGTTCTTGAACTACTTGGATGGGTTGTCAAGTAGGGAGTCGAATTTCTGGTATAAGCCGTAACAGTTGATTCTGAGTAATGGCAGGAAGTACTAGATTTGAGTTGGCTTCAGGTAGTCCAGAGGGATCGGCTTTTGCTGGCACCTATCCAAATGGCCAAAGGGGAAACTACAGTGCTAGCTTGGATAGGTCAAGGAGCTTCCGGGAGGGTATGGAGAACCGGATGCTAAGTTCTGGCTCTGGTTCATCCAGAGGGACTACCGCGTTGTCAGCAAATTTGCAGTCTTTGTTCCAGTGTCTGACAATGGAGCCAATTACGTTGGGTAACAAGAAAGCCTTCGAAGATTTAAGGAAGTCTCTTTGTGTTTCTCTTGGAGGTACCTCCGACGAGCAACTTCTTGGATCTTCCATCTCCAAGCCTTTTTCTCCAGCATTTATAGGGTCCCTAAAACATTTTAAAGCAACTGCACAGGATGTCTATAGAAAGGCCAGGTAACTTTCCTTTTTTCATATAATCACAACTATGCACATTATATTTCTTCTCAACTTAATCATGACCCTTGTATATACATGAAAAACCATGCTTCTCTAGCTTGTACCTTCTATCCTGGTTAGACATGGTATTTGAAACTGTTTCTTATGTCACTTGAGTTCCTTTGTATCTTTCGTTCCCATAAATCCTACGGATGCCCATAATAACATTATTGTATTATCAGACCCTAGGCATATAGAAGACTTGTTTAGGGATGAGTTGGGATGTAGTTAGTTATGGCCACTTGTAACTGGAGCATTCATGTGACCTTGAGTAGTAGTTGCCAACTGAAGATGTAATATCTTTTTATCAGGGATAGGGCGAAAACCTTGAGTGAATCCTTAAGCAAATTGGACGAGTATTGTGAAGTCCTTGACTCCAGGAAGCAGCGGAGGAGCGAACTCTTATCAAATGAAAGGTCAAGTGGGACAAATTTGTTGAAGATGGGTAGTCAGACACATCAAAACCGTCCAGACCTTGTAGGTCAACGGCTGGAGGAGAGGACTAAGAATGTTGTTCCAAATAAGCGTGTTCGCACATCGGTGGCTGAAGTACGGGTTTGTATTTGAAAAAAAAGTTCAGAGGTGTAATCTTTGGTTGCACCTTATCTGAAAACTTTGTCTACTGCCTTCTAAAGCTAACTTTACTTGCTTAGGATGATTTTGCATGTTTAAATGGAATTATCTATCATGGACGTAAATCTTCCTCATGATCTCCCTCAGTTTGAAAGGCCAAAATCTAAAATTGAGCTTTTGCTACATATAAAAAAATTGAGCTGTGTATCTTGCACATACTTTAGGCATATGCTTCTTGCACATAGAAGTTGTCACCGGACATTTAAATGTTCTTTTTCAATCCTTAGTTTTTTGGTGATTATTCTGAGACATACTTCATTGATTTTGTTTCAATTCAGGCTGAAGGTCGGACTACTAACCTCTCAAGGCCACCTGTTGTCACGGAAAAGGATAGAGATATGCTTAGGGCTGGTAATGGGAGTTCTGTTCAGGTTGAAGAAAAGATCCGTGGACTCCCTGCTGGAGGGGAGGGGTGGGACAAAAAAATGAAAAGGAAACGATCTGTAGGCACAGTGGTCACAAGAGCTATGGATGGAGAACGTGAAATTAAAAGAACAATGCATCAAAAGCTTGCAAATGATTCTAGGTCACGAGCTTGTGATATCCATGGCCTCCGGTAACCTTTTTTTGTTATATTTGATATTATATGATTCCTTACTGTTTGCCAAATAGTTGGATCAAGACATCTCTACCATATGCCAGAATTTGTCTATTTCTAGTTTTCTTTATGAAGTTGCTTGCTGTTTCATTATTTCATAAACTGCACTTTTTCTGTTATCATAGGAAGTTCAAAAGTTAGGTTTGAAAACAAATTCCATATAAAATTTAAAGCTTGATGTAAATGAACTATGATTGCAAATTTACTTTCATGTAGGATTGTTGGACATGTAAATTTATAAATTGTCTCTTTATCTTGACCATTTGACCTTTTCCTGCTATTGTGAGGACATTGAAATGAAATATAGAAATTTCTGCACATATTTTTGGTTTGTCATTTTCTCCTCTACCCAGACCTTATTTTCTGGTAAATGACTGATTATACCAAAAGCACAAAAAAAGGGGGGAAAGTGACTGGGTAAGGTAGTAATTCACACATATCGGATTGGAATAAAATCCAAACATCTGTCAACTAGATTAATTCTTCACCAAGATAAGGTCTTTGTGCTTTAGGAGACCTGGAGCAATGATACCACTTGACCAGCACCAAAACTACCCTCAAGCATTGCATCCTCTAAATCAAAGACCACTAAAAACTTCTAGACGTTTTCTTGTTCTTCAAAATCTTCTTGCTTGGTTTAATCCCAAAGAGTCCCCCTTTTAGTCTAGCAAAAGCCTTTGAAACCAACGCTAGGGCCTGATCCGTATCCTTAGTTGAGAAAAAATCAGCCCAACTCCTTTGGTTGCTTACTCTCAGAACTTACCCCCATGTTAAACTCAGAGAAATAGAAGGGATCAAAGTAGCCTACCTCCGAAGCACACTTTTACTCCAACATAATACGCCTGAGGGAGATGCAAACAACAAACTCTTTCTCTGACTCCAAGAGCAAAAAAGTGCTTTCCTTACCTTTTCCTGAACGAGGCGAAGTGGAGATAACTCCCAGATGATACTATGGTTTTTTTTGATGCTCCAGGCAAGTAATTTGAGGGCTACTTTAAAATGTTTCGAGATGTTTGCAGGTCTGAAATTAATTTAAATAAGAGTGTGATGATCCAGGTAGGGGATATTTCCCAATCATTTCTTGAGGACTCTGTGGTGACTTTGGGATGCCTAGTGGGTGAGTTCTCTTAAACATATTTGGCTTTTAATTGGTGCAAAAGCAGCTGCACCATCCATGTGGCAACTGCTGTTGGACAGAGTAGATTAAAAGTTGGCAGGTTGGAAGGGGAAGTATTTATCTCTTGGTGGTAGAATTACACATATTATTCCCTTTTAACTGTTGGTAAAATGGTTACTGGATTCTGGAATTTGCTGTGAGCTAATACTTTTGTCATTCTGGTTCTTGATATTCCAAATATATATTTCCCCTCTATCTGTTGGTGAAATGGTTACTGGATTCTCGAATTTTCTGTTCATGAAATTGTTGGTTTGGTTGATGATGAAGCTTCTCTTTTATCAACCAGACTATAGTAATGCTATGGATACTCATTCTACTTATACTTGCTTTTGTGCTTGGTTTTCATCTGATATACATTTACTTTCTCTTGAAGGTTTAGTTATTTTGCTTCCTTGTTCTCTTGGCACATCTGTATTGAATGATTACTTGAATCTCCTATATGCATTTTTCCCGTCCGAGAAGTGAAATATGARTTCTGCTATTTACAGATCTGGACCCTCTAATGGGATTAGTGGAATCAACAAGTTGGATGGTACATCCCAGTCTACTAGTTCAAATACACACACAATACCCAAGACTGATATGGAAAATGTCTCCCTTCCAAGGGACCGTGCGACTGGATTGGATAAGGAGAGAAGTGTAGCAAAGGGAAATAACAAGTATGCATTCCACAGTTATATTTATGTTACTTTGCTGTTCCGCAGTAGAGATGAAGAACTACTCTATTCACAAACTAGAAGTGACTGCTGTTGGAATTCTGGAGCATTATTGAGTTTTCATTACATTTCTTGAACCACTCGACATCCAATGTTCTGTTGACCTTTTCATTTTATGATAGAAAGGTTTTTGATACACTTGTGAACTTGTCATCCAGGTTAAATATTCGTGATGAAACTCAGATGGGCAGCTTCAGTCCAGTTACAAAAGGAAAGGCTTCTAGAGCACCAAGAAATGGTTCTGTTGCAGTGCAAAACTCATCTCCTACCTTCCACCGCATGCCTGGAGCTCATGATGGGTGGGAACAATCTCAAAACCTGAATAAAATCCAGTCCATGAATGGGACAATCAATCGCAAACGTCCCATGCCTGCTGGATCATCTTCACCCCCCATGGCCCAATGGGTTGGTCAGAGGCCACATAAAATCTCACGAACAAGAAGGGCAAATCTTGTTTCTCCTGTTTCAAACCCTGATGATACTCAGATATTATCTGATGGCTTTCCAACTTCGGATATTGGTAGTAGATTAACATCTAATGAGACTAATGGATCTGTACTTGTGAGGAGTATGTCCAACAATACACAACAATTAAAGATGAAACTTGAGAATGTTCCTTCTCCAGCAAGATTGTCTGAAAGTGAAGAATCTGGTGCGGGTGAAAACAAAATGAGGGACAAAGGGGTAGATAATGGAAACATAGAGGACAGAGGCATGAATGCAGTTAAAGTTGGAACCTTCATGTTGCAGAAGAAGAATAAAATGCTTGTTAAGGAAGAAATTGGAGATGGTGTCCGGAGACAAGGAAGGAGTGGAAGGGGTTCATCCTTGTCAAGAGCATGTGTTCCTCCAATTAGAGAAAAACTGGAGAATGCAGCCACAGCAAAGCCCCTGCGAAGCACAAAGCCTGGTTCTGACAAGAATGAAAGGTGTTGAATATATATATATATTTTCCAGTTTCATGGTTGTTTGTTTTTGATGTAGTTCTCATTATTGGTTTATCACAAATTTGTCTGATTCAGTAAATCAGGTCGTCCTCCTTCAAAAAAACTATCAGATCGCAAGGCTTTCGCTCGTCCTGGACATACCAGTGGTTCCTCAGATATCACAGGTGCTAATTAGAGCTATTCATTTAATGCGTTTTCTGTTACTGATAAAAAAGGCTTTCATGTGTGTCAATAATTGGCATACATGCCTTATATACTACTGATTACAAAACCTCAGATACTTCTAAAAATATTAAAATACTGCACTGTCCAGTGAGATTTTTGAAGAAGGGTGAGTTCTAACTCTTTTTGAGAGATTGCATATCTGGAAAATTTATACTTTTTTATTGGAAAATCTTGACCTCTGCACAAAAGTTTGCTGTTTCTATTTTATATTCAATAGAATTAAACTCAGTTTTCCTATTTTCAGCCAGTTGTCTCCTTAGTGGACCTTTTTCTTCCTTTCTTTTATGTCGGATCCTCAGTGGGCTGTCAGTAGAGTCAGATTCATTTTGTTCAATGGAAGGGATATTGATCAATACAAAATTGTTTGCAGCATTCAGTTAATTGAGGGATTGCTKACTGAGCTTTTTTTTAATACCGATACTTTTTGTACTTATTTATTTTTCTTAATTTCACACTTGGATTTCAAGAAAAAGACCATGAAAAAGTGAAAGAAATGAAATCTCCAAAGTAGTGTAACTTAATATTTTTGACGATGAAATTTGACATCATAGTTTGAATGTTATACTACAGGTGAATCGGATGATGACCATGAAGAACTTTTAGAAGCTGCTAATTCTGCTCGTAATGCCAGCTGTATGCATCTGGCCTAAATTTCTTTTGCTTTCATGACTAAGGCATCTTTTCCTTTTGTTTATGAGGTGTCATCAGTATGCTTTTATTTCTTAATGTACTACAGATATTGCCTGTTCTAGTTCATTCTGGAAGAAAATGGAACCGCTTTTTGCTTCTGTCAGTGCAGAGAACTTGGCCTACTTGAGGAAACAGGTAAAATGGATCTACATTATTTACCTAGTGCTTTTGGTCATTTTTTTCCCAATTTTGACTTAGTGATTCTTACAATCTCAATTTCCTTGTATCCATTTTTGGGTGGTCAGCTAACTTTTGCAGAGCAGCTTGATGAAAGTCTGTTTCACATGTTTTGTTCTGACTCTGATGTTCTGGTATTGTCTCTTGACAACTTTTTTCAGAATTTCAATGATAAAAATGGCATTTATTGGACCGTTCATGCTGCCTTTTTTATTGATAATGAAGCATATGATAGTGAGTGTACAAATTATCCATCCTGATTCACAAGGAGGATAAATAACGGGATATGAAAAGCCCAATATAAATCCAGATGCTTGTGCCACTGTACAAATACAAATAGGCCTATATAAAAAGTGTATTTGAGAACATATACCAGTTATGGTCTATGTTAGTTAGTTTGCCTTCCATTTGATAAGATAGGGCTGCAAATGTTAATCTGATTTGAATCCAATTTGTTTAAGTTGGATTCAGATATCTGTTTAGCTATAGTTGGATCAAATTGGATCTGAAAATATGATCTGTTTATTAATCAGACTGAATTCAGATATTGGTTGATCTGATCCTATTATGGTATGCATATGCAAAATATTATTTTTTACTATTAAAGTTTTTAGAATTAAATGATAATTGGGATTAGATATACTTATTTTTTTCTGTTTAATATATATTTTTGTTTGTATTTAACATTACAAATATATGCTAATTTTACATAGATTTATTAATATTTTAGTTGAATTGGATATCTCCATATGTGAACGAATTGAATTCGAATATGTGTTTTACATATCTGTCCGATAATGGATTGAAATTGGATATTTTGGACTCTTATTGGATTGGATTCACATATACCCCAACACAAATTCGATCCATTCCATTTGCAGCCCTATAAGAGGGTGGGATGATTAGGTGAAGAAGAATTTTTTGATGTGGATGCTTTGGTAGGGGGCCTCCCTCAAAAGGTGAAAATCCACCAAGGGCCTCCAAGTGCTTTTCTCATCCATTCTATAACAAGCTGTTTATCACCTTCTGTTGGTCAACTCAATAAAGCCTCATCCTTACCATGTGGTGTCAGCTACTGACCCTCTACAATCATCCTCTTGAATCCCAATGACAAGGAGGGCCTAATGTGAGTAGGAGATCCAGCATTTCTGCAATTCAACTTATATTCTGTTTCTTTTTCACCTTGCTTATCTTCAGATGGAGTTAAGACTTCAATACATGGAAATTGTTTATCTTTTTGTTAACCTCGTCCATCATGGTTCATTATTTTACATTGATCTCTAACCAAATAAAAGTAGAAACCAAGGAAACTGTTTACTCTGTTTTGATGTTATAGCCAAACCCATATAGTTGGGACAAGGCTTAGATAATGATGATGATATGATTCCATACATGTGATGTGACCTATGGGTCTCCTTCTAGCAGTTCTGAGGTTTTTCTGCTTTCTCAGGGTGAGCTTGTGCATGAAGAAAAGTCATTGTCTCAACCTCCTCTTTCTGGAGAAATTCAAGGTAGCCAGCTAAATGGAACCAGTTCCAATAAATCAGCCAGGACTGTAGATTTGGTTTATAAGTTACAGGACAGTGATACTTTAAATGGAAGGTTAGATACAGAACGAAGGTTTGACATGGTTACTCCATTGTACCAAAGAGTTCTCTCAGCATTGATCGAAGAGGATGGACATGAAGAATTTGACCATGATAGTGAAAGGCAAAGTGTTTCTTTTCAATATGGTGAAGATTCTTCTTATGGTACATGTATGAATATTGACTTTGAACCTAAAGATGGGGACATGATAGAATCTGAAATTGAGTCTGAGTTGGATGTTAGGCCTGAAAAGCAATATTCATTGGACACATTTTCATGTGATGGGAGTACTGCTTCTAATAGCTTTAGAAGCCCAAACATCCAGAAACCTTTATATAGTGATGAACAGTGGCAAGGAGATGATGGTTTAGTACATTCAGAGGTTGGAGTTGCATCTGGCTGTGTTCGAACAAATTTAGATGGGTCCCAACATTCTCATACAGATACTTCTAGCATTTCTTCGTTTGAGTTCCAATATCAACATATGTCTCTGAATGACAGACTCTTGTTGGAGCTGCAGAGTATTGGCCTCTATGTGGAAATGGTGGTAAGTTCCATCACAAATAAGCAAAGTATTTGTTGAACATGATACTTACTATTTAATGAAAAAATGTTTTTGAAACCCTTTTATATTTTTTGTTTTTTTGTATTACTTTTGGAGACTCCTTGTGGAGGTTTTTGCCACAGGCAAACTTTAATTGTTAGACATTTTATAGTTTTATTGCATAGTGATACTATTTCTTTAATTAGAAAACTGTGGTTACTTTCAAATATCTAATTTAGATTCTTTGTTTTCCTAGCCTGATCTGGCAGAGGGAGAAGAAGAGATAAATAACAACATCGTTAAACTTAAGAAGGGGCTTTACCGACAGGTTCTGTTGCACCACTGTCTCTCTTTTCTATAGTTTTTTTTTTCTTAACTATGTTGAATAGAAGAGGCAGTTCCTTAAGGTTTTCTTCTGTATGCAAATTGTTTGAGTCCCTTTTGAGTCAAATTCTCTGTGTATGTCTATTGAGAAACTTATTTTCCTTATTCAAATTTTTATTGATTTGGATAGGTAGGGAAAAAGAAAAGTCATTTGTCCAAAATAGACAAGGCTATTCAAGAAGAGAGAGAGATGGAAGAACGGTAGGATTCTCCACAATCTGGATATTTCTTTTTCTTTTTTTTTTTTTCTGCTAGTCATTGTAGTGAATAGAAAGATGATTATATTGCAATGATGGAACACCTTGGCTATTCAAGAAATTGTATGGCAAGGGAATCAGTGTTACATGGACATGGACACGAGAATCGGAATTCGATGTTTGTCCAAGAACCTGAACCTGACTTGGCAAGATGAGGAAACATTTACTCTTGAACACATTTATGGAGAAGCATATACTATTAAAATAATTCATATTTTTGAATTCTAACATTATATACCTAAAAAAGTGTTGCCTTTGTTAGTAGGTGACATTTAATACAAAAAGTGGATTCATCGTGTAGATTAACTGTTCATTTATGGCAATAAGCTAGGGGATAAAAAGGAACTGTTATGTAGAAGTGCCATTGGACTGTCGGATTAAAATGTGTGTCTGACACAATCCGGCATGTTTAAGGAGGGTAAATGCAACACTGAGACAAATACATAACAGCACTAGGCTGGCCTTTCAAACATACGACAGTCTGAATGTTTCTTGTATTAATTTAATTTTTTTTTGACCTTATCGAATTTAACACTTGCATCATACTTTAGACCTTTTGCCCTTAAATAACACACATTGTTTAATGTGCAGAAAACTTGAGGAACTTGCAATGTACAAACTTACTGAGAGAGCTTATAGGAAGCAACTGGTAATTCTTATATTTGTATACTTTTTTTTTCTGTTTTCATTGGTAGTGATTTAATTGATTCTTTTACTGAAAAATTGTAAACCATATGTTGCCACCTATACCCAATATCTGAGCTGGGTCCCCTGGTCAATATCTGAGCTGGGTCCCCTAGTGTTCCAGTATCATATCCAATAAATATCAGATTAGATACCAGATACTGCATGCATACTTCTAGATGTATTCTATAGCATTAACAATTTAAAAATCATAAGGTGGTATGTTCAACAATTTATACTATAAAATATCTTTATATGTTAGACATTTAATTAAATATGGCAAGGTATACATCTTGAGATATGATATTTAGCTTCAAAAGCTAGATATAAACACATGATATATTACATGGGATACCTGTATCCGTATCCGTGTCCAGGAACTGTTTCCTGTATCTGTGTTTGTGACCATATCCATATTTGGGCATCATAGTGATTTAGGATGGGGTGGCATCCTACAAACTTCAGATCTGGACGTGGGATTTGTAGGGGTGAAGAAGGGTTTCAGGTGATTTAGGATGAAGAATAAGGGTAGAAAAACAATTAGAAGCTTGCTGTCAACCAAAGAATAAGCAAAATATTTTTTTTTATTGGAAACGGTAACTTTTATTCATTAAATCATAAGAATTACACACCAGACATTCCATTGCTGGAGTACTGATCCCATAAACAATTCCACTCTTACAATACAGCCCAAAGAAGATCACTCCTGTTTGATCCTTGTTTGGCTAATGCATCAGCCAGGCTATTGGCCGTTCTTCTAACCCATTTGGAATCTGCTTCAAGTTCCTCTGTTAGACTCCATACTTCTGTCATAGCTTGCCAGTGATTCCAGGTTTCCAAGGTTCCTGCTTTCATCCAGTCTATTACTATCCTTGAATCCCCTTACCACTTCAATATGATGTAGTCCCATCTGTTTTTGCTAGTCTCAGTCCTTGTAGTAAAGCTAACACCTCAGCTCTTAACGAGTCACCCAGTCCTATAGGCCCCCAAAAAAGAGCCAAGGTTTTTCCTTTCCCATCTCTAAAAACTCCCCCTACACTCGAAGGCCCTGGTTACCAAGTGAGCTCCCATCGAAATTCATCTTTATTCTTTGTTGTGTACAAACTGCCCAACTCTGTTGAATTGCTGAAATGGATCTTGAAGTATTTTCTACTGAACTCCATCCCCTAATTGTATCATCCACTAAGAACTCTTTAAACAAGTTAACTGTCTTTACCCAATGTACTCTACCTTAATAGTAATGCAATCAATCAAATCCTCCCTGGGTTTTCTTTTTCCTAGAAAAGTTCCCCTAATTGTATCATCCACTAAGAACTCCTTAAACAAGTTAACTGTTTTTACCCAATGTACTCTACCTTAATAGTGATGCAATCAATCAAATGCTCCCTGGAATTTCTTTTTCCTAGAAAAGTCCTATTATATCTTTTCTCCCACGCCGCCCATAAGACTGCAACTCTTTGTGGCTCTCCATAACATCCTTCCCCTTTTCTTTGGTTGCCTAAAGAAGCTTGCTTCAAAGAGGCTACATTTGGGGGGGGGGAATCCACCTGCAAACAAAGAGAGAAGAAAGCCATTCCCAAATAAATGAGACAAAGTGCAGCAGATTAATAGGTGCTCAGTAGTCTCACCACAAGCAAAGCAAAGGAAACAGACATGAGGGGAGAGGCACTGATTTGACCTTCTTTTCTGAAGTACATTACAGGTTGGTTCACAGTTGCAGAGTTACTTTCCCTACCTTTATAGTCTAGCATACTGTTGCACCTCCAAATGTTGCATTTTTAATGTGGAGAGCAGTCCTAAACAAATGCCTGATAGCAGATAATTTGGTGAAGAGTATGACAGTGAGCAGCACTTTGTGCATCATGTGTAATGAAGGCACAGAAGCTGTGAATCACTTGTTTCTGTACTGTAACTTGCTAGGAGGCTGTGGGTCAGGATGTTGGGCCATTTTTAGAGTGCAAGTATGTTTTCCAGCAATGTAGAGGCACTTACGGAGTTGGCAACTGAAAGTTCTTAGTAGAAAAGGGAAGGTCATATAGGGAGCAATTCCACTAGTGTTAATGTTGACCATCTGGACTGAAAGGAATGTCGGATATTTGACAATATATATATTTTTGTGATAAAAAGGTAGAATTTATTATTATATTTCAGATTAGAAGTTACATAACTGTGGGAATATTTTTTTTTTTTTTGAGAAAATTTAACTGAACTGTGGGAATATTACCTCCCTCAAGAGTACATCAATGTGTAGATATTACCCATTCCCAAGGTGCAAAAGATTACATTTTAGCTCAAAGCATCTGCTGCCTATTTATCCCTTGTTTAGATAATGTGTCTGCCATCTCATTTTCTGTTCTTCTCACCCACTTAAAAGTAACACTTAACTCCCTTGTTAAGCATTCAATTTCCCTAATGGTGTGTCTGTAAATCCATGGGCTTGACTGAGGAATTTTGTCCAAGAAATAACCACCTGGGAGTGAGTTCCCTTCCATTTCCAACAGCTGGAATCCAAACTGCTTTGAAAACTTTAAGCCATGAAGTAAAACAATAATTCTGCTAGACTGCTATCAATGAGTCACCTTGCTCCAAGGGGCCTGAATACAATGCTAATACCTTCTGAGTCTCGAAAAACACTGCCTAATCCAGCCCTTCCTTCATTTCCCAGAAAGATTCCATCAAGGTTACATTTTACAATGTTTCTGGTGGTCTCCAATCCATGGTTTTTCTTTCCTTTTCTTGAGTCAATTATGCCACTTCCCTCTTGTTTCTTGTTTTAATATAATACTTCACCTTTTTCAACATAAAAGAAAAAGAAAAACTCTCTACACTCATAATAGTGTACCAGTTATAGACAAAATCTTTCCACTCAATGACCTTGGAATCACTAAGAGCAAGTGCTTAATTCGTGAGAAAACTGATAACATCAGTGCAGATGCACTAAAGGCTTCCCAGTTCTCTCAAATGTCTTACTATTTCTTTCTTTCCAAATTGCCCTAGAAATAGTAAATGGAATCAATGTCCTAAGCAATGAGTCTCTGCCACTCATAGAACAACCTGGCCGCTGGAACTACAACAAAGTTCTTGGACAGGAACAAATGGTTCACTGACTCTGTTGATTAACAAGTACTACAGGTATTCTGTAGCTTCATTCTTCCCATGATGGTTCGAGTGGTAAGTAGAAAGCACTTTGTGTAGAGAACCAGCCACATGAAAGCCTCAAACCTGAGGGTTACCCTTGATGCAGTAGGGCTGGAACAAACTAACACAAGACAGAAAGAGAGAGGAAGAGAGAGTAGAAAGGGTAGAGAAAGAGAAAAGAGAGAGAAATCCCAAGGAATCACTCCAAGGGGTCCTAGAATCACTCTAGGGTTTGTAGGAATCACTCCATACAGCAAGAGAGCTCTTAAGAAATCTTCATTCATTCATTAGCCTCAAAAGGAAGAGAATACATCTATTTATAGAGTGACTTGTGTGGCCCGGAACACTGTTCACAATAATTACAAAAAGTGCCACTCTTTGTCTTGTGCAACAAGAAACACAATAACTTTCTATCTACTAATGCAAATAAACTGAAAGTTGAAAGACAAGCACTACTAAGCTATAGGAACAAGATGCTATAGCCCAAGTCCACATTGGGCTGGTCAAAATGACGAAAATACCCTTGACTAGATCAGTCCAAGTCCCAAGAGTCTTCTCCATGCCAAATCAGAACCTGTTTGTTGGCCTTCTTCTTACAGGAATAGGCCTTATAATGCATAGACCGATCTCCATCAACCCTCCTACCCTAAAGGTCCTTGAACTTGTATAACTGTTAGCTGTGATGTTTCTTAGTTGAGGTTAAGTGACCTGGACCATGGTTACTCCTGTAGAAAGAAGGGGATGCCCAGGGGGTGGGGGAGGGATGAAGTGGTGTCTAGTGTATGTTTTGGGTGGGAAGTGGGCCTAGTTTGTTTCAGTGGAATTAGAGCAATATTTGACTCTTTAAGAACTCTGTTGGTCCTCTATCCCGAATGGCTTCAGAGGGATCTGCTACTTCTGCTTAGGGCGTAGGGACCAAGGTGACATTTTTCTTGATCCATGCTTTGCTACATTTCATTTGTATTTTTTCTATATCTGATTATTCTCACAAATCAATTAGCTTGTATCTTTGTATAGGGGAGACTCCTCCTATAGGCTTGTATTCTTATGATTCTACCTATACATGAAATTAGTATAACCTAGACTTGCAGATTTTATAAGAGAGGAGGTAAGTGATGCTTCTTTGAGAACCTGAGGTAGGATTATACTTAAGAAACCTTGTGAGGTATATCTAAAATGGTCAAAAAAATGCAACTGAGGTTTCTGCAAAGTTGTCTTTTCTTGCCAATTGTGTAGAAGTATCTATAGATAAAACAAAAACTATCTTTTATAAAAGGCTTACCATATGTGTACAGGAAAGTTTAACCTCCAGTTTTACATGTGGAACTTTTGTGCATCCCTCTTGTCTTGCACATTCATTGTTCTAATGACCAATGTTTTAAAAGGCATGGGAGGCATATGCTTGGAGGTGCACCTCCAGGCGAGGCACCCCCAAAAGGACCTGAAGTGCATGCCAGAGGGCGTTGATCCCACATGAGGAACATGCCTAAAACACCTTTTGCATGAGGCGTGCTAGAGGCATATGCTTCATGTGCCTCATGCATGTCTCATGCAAAAAGAAAGGAAAGGTAGGGAAAGAAAAAGAAGAAACAAAAAACAAGACAGTTTTCATAAAAAAAGTAACAAGATAAGATCCCCTTTCCTCTTCTTGAGGAGGCTTACACCTCTTGTGTTCTGAACTCAACCTCATGCCTCCAATTAGTGGAATGCTTTGCGTCACACCTCTACGTTTTAAAACATTGCTAATGACCATTAGAACGTGGTTTTGTTCAACATTTAGAAATGATATTTTTTTGACTGTGTTTCAATTTTGGATTTGAAAAACGTATGAAGGTATAAAGTGGATAAGCTATTCTAATTGTTGAGCTATTATGTGTTTTAGAGAATTTGAATTACTATCGTTTTCATTTTAGACCATGAAATGTATCTTTACCATCCTTGACAGGCCTGCCGAGGAAATCATCCTTCCAAGCATGGGGTCAGTAAGATCTCAAAGCAAGCTGCTTTGGCTTTTGCCCAGCGAACTCTTTCTAGATGTCACAATTTTGAGGATACAGGAAGAAGTTGCTTTAGTGAACCTGCATTTCGGGACGTTTTGTTTTCTCTACCTTTGTATGGAAGTAATACAAAATTTGCATATGCTGTTGGCTCTGGGGTGGCTACAAATACATATACTGAAGCTCAAAGCTGTCAACCAGAGCTTAGATCATCAGGTATGCTAATTTAAGTGCTTGTTTTTTTGATATAATGCCAATGAATGTCTTCATATCATAATTTATGATGTTCTGTTAAAACACATGCTCTGCTGAGGGGTAATTAGTTATTGTGGAACAGTTCACCTCTGCATGTCATGAAATACTAGAGAAAATATAGATATTTGATCAGGTTTTATTTTGAAAGTTAAAGCATTTCTCTCTATTCTTTACTCTGTTGGCCCCTGTTCCATATAGTTTCCTGATACGAAAAAGTGCTTCATAAGAGTTTTAGGGAAGAAAATGATTCATAACAATCTGCTTTTTCTCAGTTCAACTGCATTTTATTTATATATGGGTTTTTATCTGCAGCTACAGGTTCCTTTTCCAGTGGGGTTGATCAACATGGTCATCATAATGATAAGTTTGACAAGGGATTATCAGATGTATTTCAAACTCCTACTCACTCATCTGACCATGCTTTTGGAAAGCATGACCCGATAACAAACCGTGGGAAGAGGAAAGAAGTGCTGCTTGATGATGTTGTTGGCTCTGCTGGATCAAGAGGCACACCGGCTCTTGGAAACACCATTTTGGGTGGAACTAAAGGGAAGAGAAGTGAGAGAGAGAGGGATCAGAACAAAGATATATTAACAAGAACTTCTGTAGCAAAATCTGGCCGTCCATCATTGCAAAGTTTTAGGGGCGAGCGCAAAACAAAGACAAAGTCAAAGCAAAAAACAGCTCACTTATCAAATTCTGGAAATGGACTCCTTGGCAGGCTTACAGAAACAACACATCCTACATATCCTTCAGTGCGTGGATCCAGTGAAAAGGTCACAAACAGTACCAGTAAAATGAGTGAAGTGGGTTTGCCCCCTGGTAATGTTCCTCAGGATTTGTCTAAGGATATTGAGGAGCCCATTGACTTTTCAAACTTGCAGTTACATGAGTTAGACTCCATAGAAGAACTAGGTGTATCTAATGACCTTGGTGGGCATCAAGATCTCAGTTCTTGGTTGAACTTTGATGAAGATGGTTTGCAAGACCATGATTCAATGGGACTTGAAATACCTATGGATGACCTTTCTGAGTTAAACATGCTCATCTGAAGGAAGCACCTTGTACATCTGTCATAGTCAACAGTTATGGAAGAATGCTAAAGCTGTTGCGGAGATACAACTAACTACTTATATATGCCATACAAATGGGAACTTGTAATTATGGTAGTCCATTCTTTTGTATACTTCTTTCAAGAGGTTGTTGACAAGAGTCCTTATTGTTTATGTGATCTCAATAACTCCTTGTATCAAATGAATGTCTTTTCTAAGAGCCTTTGAAATTTGTTTTATTTAGGAGTTAGTATTTTTGAGCTTTTGTTTACCTCCTCACTTGATGTATCCTGGCCATGTCTGGGATCTTAGTGTGGATGCAAATTGTACATTAATTCCATTTATCAAAGAATTTTGAAGCCTTCATATGTAGCACATTTCAGATATACTTACGAATATGAAATGTTCTGAGATGCAGTTCACAGATAAGCTAGTTGTTATACATTACTGTTAATTGGTGTACCTATGATATGAAAAAGGTCCTATAGCTGTCTTGTTCCTACATGTGTATTTTGAAGCCCCAAACAATAACTTGTGGGGCTTGTTCTTGATTGGGCACTGCACAGCTCCTTGTTTTGCTTTCTGCTTAATAATAATAATAATAATAATAATAATAATAACTGTAAGCTAAAGGTAATGGGCTAAAGGTAATAATAATAATAATAATAATAATAATAATAATAATAATAATAATAATTTTCTGCAGTGTTGTTGCTTGTCCCTCCATTTGATATGCTAATATAACTGTAAGCTAAAGGTATCTCTCTTCAATAGATGTAGCCAACTTAATTTGGAATTTGCCATGGGATTGGGCTTTTTGCTCAATTTCTGCCGAGACTTTAGCAGTTGGATGTGTGCAGTTCAAGATGTTGACTAGTAACTTTTTGATCCTACAGCTTGATTTAGAAGAGATAAGCCTACAACTGAGATGGACCTTGTCTTTAGTTTGCAGATTTGTAGTGAAACTAAGTTCTTGACTATAGGGATCAAGAAGGCTCTTTCTATTACTCCAGTCAGTTGTACTATTTTGATAATCTTGCCTATAGTGAATTTGAGCTGTTTTATGTTAATGGGAGCAGGGGACTTGCAGAGTTTTATATTTTTATACTCAACGATGTTGATATGTTTTTCCTTTGCGTAGTTTCTTTGTTGTCATGATTGTCTACAGTTGTATCCTGTTTTCTTTTCCTAGCAGCCAGCTAATTTATTTCCTTTTCATGCATGACATGCTTTTCGAATGATTAGCGTGTATATGCAAGAGATGCCATCTTTCTTCCTGAAGTGACAATGGATCTGATTTTGACCATACATCTCTTGTTGAAAGTGGACATACTGCATCTGTTTTGCATGGGTGCTGTATTAAGTTTTATTGCTACTGTTGCGCAACTGTTGCCATCCCATACAACTTGAAGTAGGTTATGCCATCTACTTTATCTAGTTAAGATGAGCATTTAATGTTTCTTTTATGTTTTAAATCTTGATTTTTTTTATTGATGTGCAGGAAAGCCTTTTTATATTGCTGTTAAATTTGTCTGGGTCTGTGTATGGCCTTTCCCAATGTGCACTTACAGTAGAGCAATTCAGTGAGTGGATACAAATTTCCCATCTGCAAGTGGTACCACTCTAGCTTTTACCTTTGGGTTGTTTTCTACTTTCTATTTTGTTGTGTTTTATATTTCTAGTTTATGGTTCTTGTTTTCTGTTGTATCTGTTTTCTACAGTTTTTGCTACTTGTAGAATCCCTTTTGGTCTGCCATTTCAAAATCCTTTGAATGATTTATTTTCTTTTTTCAGTTTTAATAATGTTTGAGCATGGTTACTGATTCAGAAAAAAGAAAACTGCTTTGAAGTCTATAAACGAAAACAAGTACATTATAATGACGGCACTGTATTATAAATTTTTTGTATCGAGAGAACATAAGCTGTCTAACCTCAGGGATAATGACATGCTGTTCAATACTCTCAATTCAGATGCTTCAGTAACTGGTTGCTTTTTGGCTGACTGTTTTATCACTATCGTTTTCCTCTTAGTGGGGATCCTTGAATTTTTACCACTTTATCATCTTGATCCCGATCAAACCAACTTAAAGATGTCCTACAAAGACATGAATCTTTTGAAAGTTTAGTAAAGGTCATTCAAAGAGTCCTTATCAGGATGATTTCCTTTCTTTTAAATTTGTTTGCATTTCCTTCTTTCTAGACCGCCCTTATAATGTTATAGGGCATGGATCTGTTTCTTACTTTCTCTTTCTTGGTTGGATGCTTCATGTACCAGCTGCTGAGAGGCTCTCGCATAGCATGTTGAAAGCACCAGCTAAAAAAAAGGCCTCAAATAAGTATGCCATTAAAATCTGATACATGTACAAACATCTTATTGGTTCATCTTCTTTTTATTATTGGGATGCATGTTTCAATGTATGGAGTGAAGACTCCCACATTGAAAAAAAAAAGATGTAGGGGACTTGTATGCAAGGATTGATAACTCCCCTCATTGCACAACAGTGGTATCAGAGCTGGTCTGGCTGACTGCAAGTTTTGAGAGATGTATGTGGCAACTCCCATGCAAAGTTCAAAATATCGTACAGGCTGATACACCGGTATCGGCCTGTATCTTTGCTTGTGTTTGTTTTAGTTTTTTCTTTGAAATTGGTACAGACGGGTTGGTTTAAGGCCCATCTACCCCGAGACAAGCCAGACCTTGAAACACCCCCTATTGGGGTGTATCGGGAAGCCCCTGATACAATACATATCAGATGATACGGCCCTACACGTATCGAAATTTTGGACCTTTCTCCAATGGCTTTTGCTGGTTTCCCCATGGTCGAGTTGTTGGCAAGTGCGCCATCTCCCATGATGACTCCCCTATGGTGATTCCCCTATGAATGACTACTTGTTTGGCACTTTGCGATTGAGTGATGGCTCCCTATGGTGAAGTACCTAATGTGGAAGAGATTTATATGTTGAGATTCATGTGTGAGTGTATGGAGTGAAGAGTTCCACATTGGCAAAAGAAAAGAGATGCAAGGGACTTGTATGTGAGGATTGGCCCATAAGGGCTTAAGCTTTTGGGTTAAAGGTAGTGCCTAATCTTTGTGTGTAAGTCCTGAGCACATGTACGACCTTCCTGGTTCTGACCACTCCCCTCATTGCATAACATGTATCCATCTTCAAACTTGTACCCCTTGCTTATCAGCTTGTTCACCATTAATCACTTGCTAATGATGGTGACTGCTGTGAAAACCATGAAAATTATCTTTACTGGAATTTGGTAGTTAGGGACGCCCAAATCAAATTGTCTGGGCTTGTAATTTCAAGCATTCTCTAGATTTGTAAAATTAAGGATTTAAATAAGATCACTCTGGTTGTGTCCCAGTTTCAGATGCTAGAATCAAACACACTGAGGTGGATGGGTTTGTAGTTGAGTGATGATGTAGCCATTGTATCAACATCCCGGTCATTTGATTTCAGCAAATGCAATCTTGTTAACGAGATATGCTAACTGTAGCTTAGAATCTTTGAGTTTGATTGTCAGTTCTCACACGAGTAGCAGATAGTCTCACTTTGATAGAAGCCATTTCTTTGGGGTTGTACCTTGGGTAAAAACTTTCAAGATTTGACCTCTTTGTTGAAGAGAACATTATTACGGGTTGGCAGATTGTGGCTTGTTTCCGTCGTCTATGTCCTTCAGACGTTCTTGGACTCTTGGTCCTTCCCTATTGGCATCAAATTAAACTTCGATGGTTTCAGCTTGGGCAAAGCGGGTCCCCCGTGCATGGGCGGTATTTTCCAGAAAAAAGCCATGGAAACATTATGGATCTGTTTTCTAGACCTATATTCTGAGTCTAGGGATTCTACAAGGGCTAAACTTTTGACAGTGCTACAAAGTTTTAAAATGGCAACTCTTAATTGCAGAGATATTTTTGGTGGGAACCATGGAAGGGGGATTCAACGGTAGTTGTGGGTTAACTCAAAACAAATAGTTTTGGTTCTTGGAATTGGAGACATAAGATGATAGAAAATATGCAATTTGGGGGACTATCCCCATGCACGACCTTTATTGCATAGAAAATATGCAATAGGGAGCTCGGAACAACCTTTATGTGGTTGCAAAGATCAGCCAACACCCTAGAAGATAAGTTGGCTAGGCGGGCATGAATGGAAGCAATGCGTGTGGGGGACTATCTCCCATTGAGGCTGAATGTAATACACAACCTATGATGAAATTGGGGAAAGTTGATGTCAAGGTGGAGGAAGAAAACAATGCTCTTTTTGGTTTTTACATTGCTTTCTGATTCATATGAAAACTTGGTAACAACATTGTTGTATGAGATTATGAGGAGGTGGGTGATTCCATTTTTTTTTTGATCAATAACGATTTCATTAATTCACCAAAGAGGTTACATAAGGAAGACAAACACACTTATCTTCCAAGTACAATCAAGAAAACAAAAGAATAGGTAGAGACAAAAAATTACAACTTAGCCCAAAACATTGAATCCCTTTCTGCCCCTTGTTTAGCTAAACCATCAGCTAGAGAATTGGCTGATTTTTTGACCCAACACATTTTAACTTCCATCTCCCGCACCAACCACTCAAATTTCCTCATTTGATTACTGTACCTCTATGAACCTTTAATTGATGATGGAAATGTTTTCATAGTTTCCAAAGGTATGTTTACCTATTTTCTAGACGAGTGGGTTTTAGATTTTGGGTGTTCTATGCATTGTTTGCTCTAAGACGAAATATTTTGACACACTCGAAGAGAAAATGGGTGCTGGTCTCCTTGAGTGATATATTTATTTGTGACATCATTGGTGTTGGGACGATGGAAATCAAAACGTGTGACAAAGTGATTCACACTTAGGATGGTATGGTGTATGTTCTAAAGATGCATATGAATCTAATATCATTTAGCCGATTAAATTCTAAACGTTGCAAGGTCTTTGCCACAACTAGAGTTATAAAAACCATATATGGAGGTATGGTCTTAATGAAGGGAGAAAAGTAGGGATGACAATTTCATGGGAATTTTCGGGTATCCAACCTGTCTCGACCCTAATAGGACCCATTTATCAAAATCCTATAGGGTTTGGGACAACTTTGAGATTTTAGATTAAAACCCTATAAGGTTTGGACGGGTTTGGACGGGTTTGGGTTTTAACTTTAGGGTATTTGATACCTGATAACCAGGATGCATAAATATGAACCTATTATATTATATTATCATGCAAAAATTTATAAGTTTTAAGTACTAAGATAATTATTCTATTATTAATATTTTATTTGTATAAATTTTTGGGATTAAAATCATCATTTGATGTAAAATTGGATTTGATAGATTGTTTATTTCATTTAGTTATAAAATGCTAATTTTAA